TTGTGAAGGCGCTTCAATGAGTCACTTGGGGGAACTTTCGGCAAATTACGCCGAACTTGACACACTGGCGGAATCTCAGTGCGGGTAGCGGCCTTGGGCTTTTATAACGGACTTGAGAGTGAAGAGGGAAGTGAGAATTAAGAGAATGCTGAGGGGTACTATGGGGACGTGAGAAAAGGGTAATAATGGGAGAAGCGAAATTAAGGGCGTGATTGGGAGTTGTCCTGAGGGATTGAGCGACCTTAAGGTGAACGTGGCAATCAAAATGATGAGCTGGAGTCTGGAGAGCACAGGACAGCGACGCTGACAAGGATTCAACGAAATGCGTGAGGTTTTTTTTTTTTTATTACAAATGCGTTAGGTTTTGAATCCCTAGACTGAGACATGTTAGATATAGGTTAGACCCCAGCCTGGTTGGGGGCTCAGCCAGCCAACACGTGTTAGGTGTGGCCTCGCACCAAAAAATCTTAATCATCAAGGGAGATTAAAAACATGAGCTTTATTTATTAAGAAAAATTGGAATAAATTTCTCGTTCAAAAATTAATCAGCAAAGATCTCTAAAATATGGATTACATTAAAAAAATAAGTTATATGCAAAAAAATAAATTGCACAATAAAAATAGTTTGTACGACATTATTTGAATGTTAGAAACTAAATTGCATATAGGAAAAATAAATTGCATAAAAAAATATTTAAATGCACAAAAGAAAGATATTGTACAACAAAATATGGTTTCACACACACACAAAATTTAGTTACACAAAATATTTAGAGATACCAATTAATTTCTCAATTGATTTGTCCAATTTTCTCTTATTTATTACAAAAAGTATAATTAAATTAAAAATTTTGAATAAAACTAAGGTTGAATTTTAGGACTCTCAGTCATGACGATGAGGTTGATTGATTACCACGCAAATATATCAAGAAAAATAGTCATATAAAATATCTCAACATTTAAAAAAAGGAAATAAAATAAAATAAAATAAAATAACACCCCTAAACTTAACTGCCATTTCCTACATTTCATTTTCAGCTTCAGCTAACCTTTTTTTTTTTTTGCCGGAATCAGCTGAATTAATTTGATAGTTTACTTGTAGTATATATATGCGATGTATGAATCAATTGATTAAAAATTGTATATTTATTAATATGATTGATTTGGAAATTGTTTAAAAAAATTCTTTCTTTTTAATTTATAAATTTCATCTTGATTAATTGTTAATGAGAAATAGAATTTAAGCTGAGAATTATAATTGATTGACTGATTCCTAATTAATAGATTGGAATTGGATTGGGTAGGAGGAGAATATCCAATGTTAATAGATACTCGATATAATAGGGGTTAAGTGTTGTGGTTAAACAAGAACCACAGCTTGGGATGACGTGAGAAAGAACAAATTGGGGATATTTTTTTTTTTTTGTTTTGGGGCCACTAACATTAAATTGGAGTATACAATGCTTGATATGGATTTGTTTCCCATTAAGCAAAAAAAAAAAAAATGACGCGTTTTTTTAATGAGAAATTCAAAGGATTGTTGTGTTAGGTAGGTATATTAGTTAAAGTGTGGTGGCTCTAAACCAGAAAATAACGGATCAGGAAAGAGGGAAGAAAAGTAAAAAAGGTCAACAATTAACTTCAGCAGCTGAACATATCGCCAGAAAGTGGACCATCTGACCAGATGGATTTGCGTAGTCCATTCTGAAGTCCTAACAACTGCCATGGCAGTTGCAATCTAGAAATAAACTAGTTTTAATTTGAATTTCAATTACTGCTTGCCCAAATTTAAGACGTCAATTGACATTGTGTTCTAAATTTACACAACCTTTTGTTCTAAATTTAAGAGCTAAGACAAAATAAACTACTTGCTTTCATGCTTAATATAAGATATCAATATATTTTTTTATCTAAATTTATAATCTTTTTCAAAATAGTATATATTAATGAGGTTTTTTCCAAAGAGTTGTTCTAATAAACATGATTAAAAAGAATATTTGAGAAAAACTAAAGCTTTTTAATTTCTAAAAATTAGTTATATATTTTTTACATAAAAAACTGGAAACAGTAATTGCTTTCTTATTTCTATTTATTGCACATATTAAGAAGATTTCTGTGAATGATAGTTCCAATACATATAATTCAATATGTCATATTTTAGGAAACTAACCCATATTTGTTACAAATGATCAATCTAATTAATCTTCTGGTTAATATAATACTTGATCTCTCAAATTTATTCTCATTTTAATTTTGGTCCCTCAAATTCAAATTATAAGTTTTGATTCCTCAATGAACGAAATAGTTCAAGTTTTTATTGACTTATTATAAGGACCAATATTTTAAATAAAAAGAATCTTGAGAGACTAATGGGGTGTTCGGAAGCACTAAAAAGTCCTTCTTGGAAGCACTTTTTCACAAAACGAGACAAATTCATCCACATATTTATTTCGTACAATGTAAAAGCACTTTTAAAACCATGGTTTTGATTCTATCTAAACACCCTCTAAGACCTAAATGAGAACAAATTTGAAGGACTAAAACCTGTATTAAACCCTTAATCTTCTTAATATTTATAACTTAGTTATCTAGTTTTTATATTAAAAATAAGAATAGGATAAATAAGTTAAGATATATAGGTGATTAAATATGACCTACTCTTTTTATTTGGAATAATAAAAACAACCGTTATATCATTAGTGATTTAACCCACTTCCTAATCAAATAAATGGTAGGGGGATTTTAAATTTTAATGTAAAAGCATCATAGTTCAGCCCTCAATCAGCGCAATAAGCGATAGCAGTGTGTCACTGCCGGACAACTATTATTATAATCAATCATCAAAGACAGCGGGAGAAGAGAACATGAGGGAAGAGTCAGCCTTAAAATTTGTTCTGGTAAAACTGTAGAAGGAATCTGATTCTTCAAAGTGCCTTTCACCCTCAGATTAAAGGCAAGTGGCTCCCACATGACTTCCCAGTCTGAGACATCAGCCTCAACCTCTGTAATTTTTTTTCTTTTAAAAACATAATTTATTACTATTTTTTAATATAAAAACTATATAACTAATCTAAAAAGTAGGGGTGTGCATGGATCAGACTGGAACGGGTTTGTTATCAACCCGAAGTCTGGTCCAATAAAGACCTCGGGCTGAAAAAGACAGTCCGAGGTCTGGTCTAGTCCAGTACCAACCCGAAGTCGGGTTGGACTGGACTTGGTCCTTTGGACTGCCTGGACCAGTCCAAGTAGTTTAAGACCTAAATTTAATTTTTTTTTAAATTTTTTTTCTTTAATAGGAGACAAGATTGTAACTTACTATATAAAATTTTGTACATATTTTAATCCAAAGTTCATCAAATTTAATCATTCTCTTTCAATTTCCCAATAATGTCATGTTTTATTAATTAATCCTCATTAATATAGACCTTATATTGTAGAAAATATATACGCATGCTCATTACTTAGGAAGTTAATAAATAAATCTTGATTATTTAAATAGACAAAAAATTTATATAGAAAAATTAAACCAAATTAAAATTATATAAATAATAATTAAAAAAAAAACCGGGCTAGACTGGACTGGACTAACTAGTTTGAGGGGCCAGTCCTTAGTCCAGTCCAGCCCGATGAGACTAGTCCGGTCCAGTCTTGTTTCGGGCTATTTTTTTTTTTTTAACCGGACTGGACCGGGTTAGACCGGACCATACCGGACCACCAGGTTTTTGCACGGCCCTACTAAAAAGATTAAAAAATTAATTAAATTATTTATTTGTAGTAAATATATGTTAACTTTTCTAAATTGTCTTATTTAATGGTGTGCCTTAAAACTACTTCCTGGTGGAAACCTCTTACAATTAATAAAAGATATTTTTAAAAAATTATTAATTTGGGAGATAAAAATTAATTGGAATTTCATATAAAAGATCAAATCCAACTCTTTGACTAGTTTTTATATTTAGAAGGGGAGGTAGTATTTTATAAATTTGTTTCATATGTGTCATGTAACCGGCTATTCCGTCCCCTTCATGGCTGTGATTTGTGACCGGCAGGGCTTAGCTTGTTCTGCTTTTGGGATTTTTTTTTTGGCAGGAATGAGAATTAGAACAGCAATGAAGTTGTATACAATGTTTAAAGAACTGATCGGATTAGACTCGTTAGCCGCTTGATTAGAATTAAAGAAACCAAAAAAAAAAAACTGTGTTCATAGTAAAATCTAGTTGGATTGGAGTTGTGTTGTCATTGATCCAGAACCGAAAATTAAATCCCTCAAATTAGACTGTGCCGCCCATTACTCAGCCCAAACATAATTGAATTTGGAGGAACAAGTAGTGATTACAAAAACAGGAAACTGCGAGTCTCCTATGAAAGAAATTAACAAACATAAAATTCGCCAGGAAAAAAAGAAACTAGAAGATCTACTACAGTATATATAAATAATATGCAGCACTGGATGTCAAATAATTAGAAAACAAGAATTAACAAAAACAAGTCATGAAGGTGATGATGAAGTTGAAGAGGTAATTTTCCTGATCAAGCATCTCATGCCGAACCATTCGGAGAAGAGCGAGGTTCTGAGGAAGAAGACGACTGTAAAAGAGTATGGTGGAGATGGAGGAGGCAGGTTCAAGAACCAGAGAAGTTATCAGCCTTACCAATGACATCAACATCCAAGTTCTCACAGACTGCACTAAAACCACAAACCAATTCAACAAATTTGCAACTTAAAGTTATAGAGGCAAAAACAAGAAGAAGAAGAAGAAGAAAGAGTGGGAGGTACCATGAAATGAATCTGCAGGCCAGGTTGATGAATTTGGGTTTATGTGAAGGAAGGAAGGAAAGGACACATATATTATCAGTTTGTTTTTAACAAGTGTCGCTTTCAAATGTAACGCACATTCATACCTAACTTTCAGAGTCAACTCCCTTTTGGACTCAAACTATTCATGAATCCACCTCCAACAATTTTTTTTTTCCTACAACAAGGTTAGGTGAGTTAAACGCTAGGAGCTCACCAGGGTCAGGATATATCTCTAAACTCAGAGAGCTCCTATAAAGGTACTCCTCCGGTCCTTATTATAAGACCCAATTTGACTTTTTATTTGGTCCTAATTATAAGACCCATCCATTTTGTCTATTATATTTATGCATTTTTTTCAAGATAATCCTTCTAATAATGATAGTTTTAGCAATATACTTAATTAGCAAGGATATTTTAGGAATGACAACACTTATTTATTATAAATAACCAACTTAACTTACTTCCTTAATCTCCTCAAATAAATCAATTGGGTCTTATAATTAGGACCGGAGGAGTATTTATAGATTATTTACTAACAAGATTCTCATATCAATAGTAGGATTTGAACTTAAGACCTTGTAGGTTATAAGTCAACTCTGTACCCACTAGACTAACTCTTATAGGTACATCCAACAATTTTGGTGAACGTACTATAAGATTGACCCCACGGGTGTGTGCACGCATAATTTTTTTTGAATGATGCATATAAATAATTTTGGAAAAAAATGGATTTTATAAATATACATAAACGGGCTGGTATGTAGCCCATGGCGTGCCCCCAGTAGCGCCCATCCTGTATAATAAACAAGCACGTTATTTTTGGGCAGTTTATAGGTGGGCCCAAACGGGCAAAATTTCATGGGTCATTCGGTTGGGGTATACCGAGTCATAGATCACTTGCTCGGGCATTTCCTTCCATTAGTGCATGAGTTGAGGACTGTTTTGTGTGATTAAAAAAATAAAATAAAAGAATTTAGAAGTGCTTCCAAACTAGCCCTCTTATATGGCTCGCTTCATGAAATATTTTGGAAAAAAAACTAAAATAGATAAATACCTGGATTTTGAACAAAAATAAATTACACACGTGTGTGTGTGTGAAACAAGCCATTTACTTGTGAGTCCAGAAATATTTGTGCAATGGGATTTAAAATAAGACAAAATAGAAAAAAATGATTTATTGTGCACTTATGAGAATCCAAATTGCTTCATACATTTTCATTAGTAATTTTTTGTTTGACCAGGATACATTTTCATTATTATAATTATAAATATCATTGAATGTTATCATGGTTGGTAAGTTTTTCCTTAAACATCTATTCTGGATTTAATGATATAATCTCTTAAGATGACTCACCTAAAATAATCATATTTGACATAATTATATTGATGCACAAAATAGTTTATCTCAAATTCAACTAAAGGTGCTCATGGGAGTCTTGTCCCAAAAAGACACACGAGACGGCATTTGCGTCCCGTGTCCCGTTTCGTCTCAAAATTGTTTTGGTTCTGTCCGGACCGAGACATCCCTAAAAAAAAAAGACAGAGCCAAGCAAGACTACAACACAGAACTACATATGAGTTTTCGCTTTTCAAGATATTCATTATTTTAGATTTCAACTCTATTACAATAATCCCAAGAACAAATCACAATCCAAATGAAAAAAAACAAAAACCAAACAGCAAAAGATGAAGAGTGAAAGAAAAAATAGTGAGATCAAGGAGAGAAAGGGCAGCGATGACAAAACACAGAGAGGGAGGGGAAATACCTTTAGCTTCTATCATGCCTAGCATTGCTTTTCTTGCCTTCAATCTCTCTTTGTTGATTTGTGCATGCAGGAAGTAACTGATGAGATCTGTGCTTCCCTGTTTGGCGTTTTTGTCTCCATTGTTTTATTTCCCATTTGACTATGCAAGTGCCAAGCGATGGCAAGAGACAAGAGAGTGATAACTGATAAGTCTGGTTGGGCGGTGCAGTAAAAGGAAAAGGATAGAAATAAGGGTTTGCATTTATTATATTATATATATCGATATATTAATATATATGTTATACATATAATAAAATGGAAAAAAAAATAAAACTATATATAAATATATTCGGGATGCGACGGGGCCATTCTGCGTCCTGTCTTGTCCCAAAAAATTTCAGGACAAGCTCATCCGGTTCTAATAGGAGCGGGACCGGAACAAGCCAACGGGAACAGGCCCAACATGAGCATCCCTAAATTCAACCATCATGGAAAAAGTAATAAAATGGAAGGACAACTAGACATAGTGTTCTTTTTATAAATTTTTTTTGCTGTCATATTCTCTATCAAAATCATAACATTTGCATAGACTTCTTTTAGAGTCTCATCACTAGAGGATAAATGTGAATTCCTATCATAATAATCTATCCAAATGCATATATTCATAATGTTTCAGTTAATTCATTAAAAAAAATGTCATAATAAAATATATCACTGACGTTGTGGGTAACATTTTAGGCCCAAGAATCACGCCATGCATGCGAACTCTAGTCTAAAGCTGTAATGGACCGCAACTGTTCTGTAAAAGCCCGTGGCCCAAAGCGAGGTCTTAGCAAAATTTTGAACCCGAGAGTAGCAGGCCCCATGGTTTTCATTTTTGTTGGGAAGTAATATTGGCTCCAAACAAATTTTAAAATAGTAGTTTCCTAGAAGAGACTAATCCCTTATAAGATGATGAATCGATATTTAAATAAATGCTGGGACAGGTATTACATTTAATAGCATCGCTTAATTCTGTCTTCAATGTCCACAATGGTCACAAATATTCATTTTAAAATGATTTAGCAATTTTGTCTTGAAAGTATTAACATTTTCCCAAGGTCTTGGATATGTAGAAAAAGTGAAAAACAGACAAAAGGCGCTAAATAAACACAAAACAATTTAAAGTGTTGAACGCATTTGAAGTATTACTTTAGAATACTAGATAAAACTTAATCCTAAAATAATTACATTCAATATATATTATTTTCTATTCTTAATATAAGATCCAGTTGACTTATTTGAGAAAATTAAAAAAGCTAAAAATTACTTAATTATAACATATATTACATAATTTTTTTCAAATACTTATATGTATCATTAGATTATATATCAGTTTATAAGTCAGACAAATTAGTTTAAAAAAATAAATACAATATTTTAAAAAAATTATTTAAATTTTTTAATCTCTCCAAACTAGTTAATTAAATTTTATATTAATAATTAATATATATATTTTTAATTAAAATGGCTGCATCGGAAATGAAAAGAACAAGAGACCTCCGGAGCACAATGTGATACAGTGATACTACCGCTAGTGATAATTAGTTTAAATTTAAATGTATTTAGTTTTGGATTAACTTTAAGATGGGCTATTTAGATTAATCAATTAATCAATTTTTAATAGTTCATTTTGAAGAGATCAAACAAAGTTGCAAAGTTGCTAAATTATTAATATCCTTCATTAGAAAGTGATTTTCCAAGCGGAATTTTCAATGTTTATTTATTTGTTCCGTTACTGATGTGAGCTTCGAATCAAAGTCGTGCATGTGTCCAGCTTGGTCAGAGCAACTCTGTTTCAGTCCAAAACGCATGTGATTATTATTATTTTTTTTTTAACCAGCGCATGTGATGGTCTTGTGTTTTCGTACATACCAGTATCAAATTTGAAATTTGATTTCGAGAATGATTATTGATTCGGATACGAACAAGAAAAATATCTCCAATTTTTCTCAGAGAAATTTTTTATTCTTAACCTATCAACTATACACAATTTAAACCCTTTAATACATTACATTAATTATTTACAAATTATAAAAATAGAGTAGTTTATTTAATTTTTCGGTGATCTGAGTAGCTTGTCTAATCTTGTTAATTAGGTTTGGTGCAATGGATATGATTACCATTAACACTACTATTACTTTTTGTTAGATCCTTCAATAATGATGCAGACGGCGGAAAAGAAAAAGGAAAGATTTTTAAAAGTATTATTTTTTTTGGAAAATTTCATTAGTTAGAAAAACCGGAATTATGTATGTACAACGTATTTTTAGTTATATGCAAATAATATTCTGAATTATAGGTAAATGCTTTTTGTTTCAAAGATTTTTTTTACGAGAGTGCTTTAAAGATCAACGTACATAACTAAACATAAATTGCACCAATTTAATATGAGTTGCAATAAATCCTTTCTTAAGCAAATTTCCACACAAAAAATCCTAGTAATGTAGTAAAACAATTACACATACAAATTAAAATAGAAAATATCTCACTTTGGGACGAAAATGCACATTCAAACTCCCTAATTCCGTCTGCGTATGCCGAATCAACGGTCAAAAATCGCCTGGATCAAATGATTTATCAAATGCCGCGATGCACCGGAGTGGGGCCCAGTACTCGACGACGTGAGCACCGTCAACGCTACCCGAGGCTCTTTACTGGTGACAATTCACCTACCCAACACGCCTGACTGCTTCATAAATGCGCGTGTCCACGCGCGGCGAAACCGGGCGTCGCTGCTTTTTTGAATTCTCCCCCGCGATCCAGTCAAATTGGCGGAAATCCGCGGACCGTGGCTTCGGTTTTTTGAAAAATTACTGGACCCCGCTCACGCACTGTACTCTCTTGTTTGATTGCACGTGCAGCACACGCGCCGCTACTCTTTCTCCTTTTCTGTGTGTTGCCCAGGAGACGGAGAGACATAAGGTTCGCCTTTTGGAGTTTCAAAATCATTTTCTTCCCACTTTTCCCGAACAGCAGAGTTCGTTACCTGAGGAAAATAGAAATTAAGCATTCAAAAATCATCCACCAATCCTCACTTCTGCATCTTTTGCAGACTGAGTGAGAGTGGGAGGGATTGATCGAATTTTGGAGGAGTATGAGCGTGATGGGGAGGCAGATGCCACGATCTAATTCCTCAGTGCACCACCAGCGTCAGAATTCCGATAACTTTCTTGAGACCACTTCAAGGGGAAGATGGTTTCAGTCGTCTACTTCCACGCAGGTAAAATTTTGC